TCTAGAGGATTCACGATGTTCTGTAATACTTCGAGGGTAGGATTAGGATTTTTCCTCATGCAGAATAGTTGTGTAATAGCTTATGCTTCAATAAAGTTAAAGAAGCACAAGTGGATGATGCCACTCATGAGTTGGAGACGGTCATAATGGTATTTCCATTTAGGATTTAGAGATACTATTTATACAAAGAAACATATGAGATTTATACATAGTACAAGAGCCTGAAGCATATTTAAAACCACAACAAATATAAATATTTATCAATGCCAATGGAGGAAATTACTGAAGATATAACTGTACTATTTTGTATTGTATGGAAAATATAAAATATTATGACTTATGCAAAAAAATAAAAAAAAGAATTTATTAACTTTGTTTCTAACTATTTGACATGTCGGCACGTTAAGACAAGCACTTGCGACTCACAGGCCCACTACAACAACACAAGATTCTGAAGTAGAAATGCAATAGAATTACAATACATATATATCTAAATTATCAAAATCATTAGAGGTATGATTATATATGGGAAAGTTGTAAATTGGCTTATGTAGTAGACACATTTCTTTCTAGTCAAAACTCTTATAGTCAGGAAAAATATGCACAGATATACATGAACGAAAAATTTATCTGACTCAATAGAGCTCTATTGTCCATCATCTCTGATAGAGGATCATACTTCACTTCACGATTTGGAAATCTTTTCACTAGACGTTGGGCACACGAGTAGATCTTAGTAGCAGTTTTATCACCCGCAAACGCAAAGTCCGAATATACTATACAGATCTTGGTGGATATGTTGAGAGATTGCATTCTTGAGTTTGGAGGTTGTTGGGATGCCTATCTATCTTTAGATGAATTTCCCTACCATAATAATTTTCAGTCCAACATTCAGATGGCACCATACGAGGCATTGTATGGTAAGTGATGTTGCTCTCCTATCGATGGTTTAAAGCTGGTGAGACTAACTTATGGGGACCTGGCTAGTACGAGAAGCTATTGACAAGGTCAAATTGATCTGGCAAAAAACAATTGCTCACAACTAAAAGCAGACAAAAGTTTTAGCTGGTAAAAGGAAAAAGGACTTGGAATTTTTAGTTGGCGATCGAGTTTTACCATGTATCTCTCCCATGAAAGGTGTAGTGTGATTCAAAAAAATAAAAGAAAAAAGGACTTGAAATTTTTAGTTGGAGATCGAGTTTTACCATGTATCTCTCCCATGAAAGGTGTAGTATGATTCGAAAAAAAGAAGAAGGGAAATTAAGTCTTTGATTTTATAAGACTGTACGAGATAGTTGAACAAGTAGGAGCTGTGGCATATCGTTTGGCACTTCCTCCTGAATTATATTTTATTCATCCAGTGTTTCATGTCTCAATGATAAGAAAATACATATCAGACTCATCTCAGGTGAGTGCTTGAAGAACCTATTATACCGCTCAATGAAAAATTCTCTTAAAAGGAGGAGCCGATGGCTATTGTGGATAGACAAATAAGAAACCTACGTTCAAAAGAAATAGTGTTCGTAAAAGTCTTATGGAGAGATCATACTATTGAAGAAGCTACTTGGGAAGTGGAAGATGATTTACGAGTCAAGTACCCTCATATGTTTCAGACAATAGGTATGGACTTGTTTTAAATTCGGGGACCGAATTTCGTAAGGTGGGGGAGAATGTAATACCCCATGTTTATATAGGGAATATTAATCTTTTAACATAACTTTAAAAAAAAGGAAAAAAAACCTAATCAAGTAAAAGAGGGGCAAAAGCCCACTGGACCAAAAAGAAGAAAAGGGGTTAGCAATAGGGAGACGCAGTAATTGCTGCTAACAAGGTTTAGAAAAAAAAGATAAGGAGGAGGAAAGGCAACCAACCAAAGTACACAAGGAGAATTGGGGAAAAAACTTTGGTGCCGTAAAAAGGAAGTTTTTTTCCAGCCAATTTTGTTTCAAATTTCAAGGTACTTTGTTTCACTAATTTGAGAATATATCTTAATGATTGGAGTTAAATAACCAGATTGGCTAAAAGTGAGTGAAAACAAGGAAGGATATGTAAAACTTTTGTTAATCTTTAGTAATCTGTGGAGGAGTCATGAATGCTTATAAGAACTTTGTAGCAAGTACTATTCTTTCCCTCCAAACAAATTGAATTCTTATTCATTTTGAGATTGTAGTAACAATGTAAAGCAAAATATAAAAATATGATTCATCTTTCTTTTCATCGAAATACGCCTATATGAATTGACAGAGAGTCAATAGTTGTATTCCAAGAAAAAAATAAAATAAGATAAGTGAATTAATTAAATTTGACAGAATTTAACCGATTGTATTAGTAGTTCGTAAGATTGATATACAGATTGGTTTTATGATAGTATAGGTAGTTTAAGAAGTTGTATGGATTGCTCGTGGGGACGCGCTGGTATTTCGGCAAAAGTATTGTGAGTAGTAACCTTACCGCAATTTGTGTTTTCATAACTTGCATGATTTACACATGATTTTTTTATATGAATATGTTACCGATTATTTTGAGTTACATGTGGGACATGTCTTTTACTCGATATGATACTGAAATAGTTATTTGAGATGAAGACCGTGGTTTTAAATATTTTCGTTGTCACTAAATCTGTTTTACCGTTACTTGAATTACTATTATCGAAAAGAAATTATATGATTTGATAAGAATCGAAATGCCCTATATTGTTTTAAAATATTTTCTACGAGTATATACGGATTACAAAGACAAGTATAAATGGGAGTAGACATTGAAGGATCCCGTAGCTAACAGTGGGTTCGTTAGACCTGGTGCACCTTGTATTTATAGATTACCGATTACAGTTATAGCCCTCACTGGTGGGAAGGTAGAACTAGCATACAGTTACAGTTTTCCATCGAGTAGGGACCTACAGTTATATTTGACTCCTTTTACAAAGGGGTCCACATAGTGATACAGATTACATGATCTTTTCTTGGAAACCTCCCAAACATAAATATTTGATTTGATACAGTGCTTATCGAGTTTATTACCAAATTGTTAAATTGATTTCTGTTACAGGAAACACATGATGAAACTGGTTATTCTTACCATTTTGAAAGGGCATTTTATTTTTATGATAATTTCTGAATTTTATTATACAAGCATGTATTTATGGCTTGTCTCCAATAAAAAATAGTTGTGGTTAAGTGTTATTACTGACTGAGCTAGCGACTCACTTCCTGCTATTTTTTTATACAGAGAAAGCATTTGACGCGAGCTAGGATTTCATTAATTAGAGTACACGAGTTGACCGTTCCTGGTGAGCCCCGCACTTGTTCGCGTGGGCGAAGAGTTTATGTATTGTTACTGTCTTTTATTTTGAACTCTTAGAGTCGCTCCATAGTCATTTTTATTAGTGTCAAGAGTATTCATTTATTAAATTTGACTACTTACTAGTATTAGCACTTCTTTCCGTATTTTTAAGATGGGCTTAGTATTATCTTATTTATAAGGTTGGTAGTGTTGGTGAAAACTTGTTTGTTAGTTCATGAAGATTGTGGTTGAGTTAGGTAAATACTGGTTGGTTGTTAATTGTTTATGAGACATAAATTTTTTTGAATAGTCCTAAAATAGGGGAAACTCTGTCCGATTTTCTGTAAATTATCGATGAGGCTTACTTGGGAGCACTTGTTCTTAAGACCGATGGTGGGTCAAAGTTCAACTCAGTTTAGGGAAATCCCGGTTAGGCAGGGCAAACCTCAGTGCTGAGTCTAGGCAAATCCCATACGGTGGGGAAAACCTCACTGAGGATGCTGAGTCCATAAGAGGGTGTATGTAACAGTGCTTTAGACAGAGTCCCACATCGTCAAAATACAAGAGGGGTGCTGGGTATATAAGTTAACAAGCCTTAGATCGTAGTGACACATTTTAAACCCGTAAGGGCCCATGCCCAGAGCGGACAATATCATTAGCGGGCTGGGCTATTACAGATCAACCTTTAATCAAAAAATTTGGGTTCAAGTCTTAAGAATTGTCAAAATTTATATTAGGAAGCGGTTCCTCCTGTTGGAGTTACATGATACATTTGGAATACATTTGTAGTTGATTTAGGCCACATGTGTAATTGGCCAATAGTGTATTGGGCCACGACCCATTGTAATTATTTTCCCATAGTTTTTTTTGTATAGCTCTTTGTAGTAGAAACCAGGCCCATTGTATATACATAGTCTAGGGAACATTCTAGAGGCACGAAAAGATTATTATGGAATACATAAAATTTTACCCAAAGTTCTTCTCTCATTTTTCTCTCTGAAAGCTTAACACAGATCTGCCATTGTTGCCCAATCTCTGACCTTAACATGGTATCAGAGCCATGAAATCATCGATCCTTCACCTCGTAATATTAGCTGTGTTGATTTTGGAGATCTTATTCCGTTAGCCACCGAATTTTCCTTCATCTGATCTTAGTGGTCAAAGTTTTTCGATTTGTTGTCTCTTTTACTGGTTTCGTTACTCGCCTACATTGGAATGTCATCAACATCTAAGAAATTTGTGTGATTCTTTCTTCAATCAAAGTTTTTTTTGGAGGATTTTCTTCGAAATCTAGGGTTTTCGGTTCTCAGCAATTTTGTGCATTTCATCTTCAAGGCCTTTTTTTACTTCTTTAGGTTTTGAAGAAACTTGGTACACTCTTTCCTATTTTTCTATATTCGTTGATTCTGTTTTAAGAAATTAAGATTTGTTGAAGATCAGTTATTTTTTTTAGCTTCCTGTTGACAATCATGGGTGATTCAAGTTCAAATACTGGTCCTTACGTTCCTGAACCTACTAGTCCTCTGTTCTTACTTCCTTCCGATGTGCTGGGAGTGTCTTTTGTTAGTGTTCCTTTTTCTGGGATAAGTTTTGGGGGTTGGAAGCGAAATATGATAGTTTCTCTGTCTGCTAAAAATAAAATAGGGTTCATAGATGGATCGTGCGTTAAACCTACTAAAACCTTTCATTAATATAGACAATGGGATAGGTGTAACAATATGGTTATATCATGGTTGACCAATTCATTATCTCGAGACATTGCTGAGAGTGTACAATACTCAGAAACAGCTGAGAGTATTTGGAAACAAATAAACAATAGATATGGGACTGTTAGTGGGAATAAAGTTTTTGAGATTAAAAGAGAGTTGTCCTCCACTTATCAAGGATCCCTAGATGTTGCTTCTTACTTCAATAAGCTTAAAAAACTTTGGGATGAACTGGAGATTATGCGTAGTAGTCATGCTAATGCTTGTGCTTATGCTGCTAAAGAAGGTCTTCAGAAAGAAAAGGAAGAAGATAAAGTTCATCAGTTTCTAATGGGCCTAAATGAAGTCTATGTAGGAGTTAGAAGCAATATCTTAATGATGCACCCATTGCCTTCCCTTGATAATGTTTATAATATACTACAAGATGAAAAACAAAGACAAGTTCTTCCAAGTCCACAAGCTTATTCCGAACCAGCTTCTTTCCATGCAAATTCCAACAAGCTTCCTCCTCAATTTTCCCCTCAGCAACAATATTCTCATAAATTGAAATTTGATCAGTATAGTCAAAGGGTCAATCCTGATCACAGCAAGGCTTCACTGTTCTGCAAGTACTGCAAGAAGCCTGGCCATCTAATTGAAAAATGTTACAAGTTGCATGGGTTTCCTCTGAACTTTAAGTTTACAAGAGGTAAAAAGTTTGGTACTGCTGCTACTGTTGAAGGGCAGCCTCCTGGTGTTTCTGATCATGCTCCTTCACATGTTGAGGATTCATTAATACATGGTTTAACCAAGGAACAATATACTCGACTGATGAGCCTTCTTCAACAATCTGGTCTCAACGAATCATCATCTCAACCAGTCATCATGGGTTCTGCAAACTTTGCTGGTAGTTCTTCTTCCCTACCTATGTGTCTGAATGGTACCTCTAATGTGCGCATGTTGATTAGTATAGCTGGAAGGATATGGATAGTGGATTCTGGGGCCACTGACCATATGACTTCAAATAAGAACCTTCTTTTCAATATTACTCCTCTATCTATCCCTTATCTAGTTTCTTTGCCTAATGGTTACAAAGTGAAAGTCACTTGTACTGGATCTCTTACTTTGTTGCCTTCTTTTACTTTCATCATGTTATATACATACCTTCTTTCCACTATAATTTGATTTCAGTAAGTAAACTGATTGATCAGTTCAGATGTTATGTTTTATTCACATTCCAATCTTGTATACTTCTACAGACCCATTCTATGAAGAAGCTTCTGGAGTTTGGTAGAATGGACCATGGACTATATAAATTTTACTTCAACCAACCTACTTCCCCTACATCTACTTCCTAAAATGTGATGGACAGTATTAAACAACCTATTCCTTCTCCTGTTGTTTCTGATTCATCTGTTTCTAGTTTTGATACAATAGCTGAAGTACATGATTTCTCTTTGAATGCACATGTAGATGTTCTGAATTCTCTTCATGATCCCGTTTCATTACCAAATTGTAACAGTAACCAGCATATAAATAAAAATGATGTTCTTTGGCATCATAGACTGAATCATGTTCCTTTTGCACAAATGAAAAATATACCTTCTATTTTTTCTTCTTTATTAGCAAAGCAGTCCTTTATTTGTCCTATTTGCCCTTTAGCAAGACAACCTAGAATGTCATTTCCAAACAGCTCTACTCATTCTACTGCACTGTTTCAACTTATACATGTAGATACTTGGGGTCCCTACCGCACTCAATCATATTCTGGGGCAAGATACTTTTTGACCATAGTTGATGATTACAGTAGGGCAACCTGGAAAAATTTGCTACACTCCAAAAGCTATGCTTTTAGCTTAATTAAGGCATTTATAACAATGGTTAAAACACAATTTCAACTTCCTGTAAAAGTCATCAGAAGTGATAATTCCTTAGAGCTTGGATCTTCTAATTCAGCTCTTCAGTTCTTTTCTGACACTGGAATAATCCATCAAACAACTTGTCCTCACACCCCATAACAGAATGGGGTGGTAGAAAGAAAACACAAGCATTTACTTGAAACTTCAATAGCCTTATTGTTTCAATCCAAGCTTCATACCAAATTTTGGGGTGATTGTGTTTTAACAGCAACTTACCTTATCAATAGGTTTCTCTCTTCAGTTTTACACAACAAGACACCATTTGAACTTCTTTATGGTAGTCCACCTTCTTACTCTCACCTGAAACCTTTCGGCTGTCTATGTTATGCTACTGTACCTAAATGCAATAGGGACAAGTTTCAGCCAAGAGCTTCCCCTTGTGTCTTTATTGGGTATCCCTATGCTAAAAGGGTTACAAACTCTTCAACTTAAATACCAAGTCAGTTTTGTACTCCACAGATGCCATTTTTCATGAATCTGTATTCCCCTATCACTTGACACACTCTACTTCTTCTTCTACTACTCCAACATCCTTTCCCATGTACTCTTTTGATACACATTCTGATCCACGTAGTTCCAATTCACCAGCACCTTACTTTCAATTGATCCTGCTCCTGCTCCTGATATTTCTTCACCACCTGAACATGATCATGTTCAGCCCACCTTCCCAATACATGAATCAGAACCTCAACCTCATCCATCTCCTGTGATTAGAAAAAATTCTAAAACACACCACATACCCTCTCACTTGAAGGACTATGTTGTACAACTTCCCTCTTCCCTTTCCTCCTCTACTCCTTCCTCCTTTTCTGCTACATAACATGCACTAGTAGAGCCTCATTCTTACACTCAGGCTGCTGCCAGCCCTGATTGGAAAGAAGCTATGGCCAAAGAGTTTGAAGCCTTAGAGGCAAATAAGACTTGGCATATTGTTGAATTACCTTTTGGCAAGAAATCCATAGGTTGTAAATGGGTGTACAAAATTAAATATAGAGCAGGTGGTAGTGTGGAAAGGTTTAAAGCCAGATTGGTAGTTAGAGGGGACACTCAGGTAGAAGGGATTAATTACTATGAAACCTTCTCATCTGTTGTCAAGATGTGCACTGTCAGATGCTTGATTGTTGTTGCACTTAAGAACAACTGGCCTTTATTTCAATTAGATGTCAACAATGCCTTCCTACATGGTGACCTAGATGAAGAGGTCAACATGAAAATTCCCCCAGGGCTTTCAGTTCCTTCAACTTCCAGTTCTTCTCCCTTGGTATGCAAGCTTCAGAAATTCCTTTATGGTCTTAGACAGGCTTCTCGACAGTGGTATGCAAAGTTATCACAAGCTCTTTGCACCAGAGGGTATATTCCCTCATTGAATGACTATTCATTATTTGTTAAGAAGTCTCCATCTTCTACTATTTTTCTTGCTGTTTATATGGATGACATCATCCTCACTGGTGATGATTTGTCTGAGATTTCAGCTCTCAAGTCATTTTTGGATGCCCAATTCACAATTAAAGATTTGGGAGTCCTTCATTATTTTTTAGGTATTGAGGTTCTTCATCATTCCTCAGGTATTATCTTGCATCAAAAGAAGTTTATACATGATTTGCTTGCTGAAAATAATTGTTCTGATGTTTCTGAAGTTGTTGCCCCTTTAAACATTTCGCTTAAACTACATGCTGATGTTGGGGACTTGTTGCCTGAACCTGATAAATATAGAAATTTAGTTGGTAAGTTGAATTACTTGACTCACACTAGGCCTGATTTATCATTCTCTGTACAGCACCTTAGCCAGTTCCTCCAGGCTCCTAGAATTACACACATGTCTGGTGCTCTACATGTCTTGTGATATTTGAAGGGTACACTTGATCATGGGGTTTTTCTTAACAACTCTTCTGACTTCTCTTTGTTGGCTAGCTGTGACAGTGATTGGGTTGCTTGCCCTACTTCTAGAAGGTCTGTTTCTGGGTTTTGCATTCATTTAGGGGGCAGCCTCATAAGTTGGAAGTCTAAAAGGCAGCCTATTTTATCTTTATCTTCCGCTGAAGCTGAATATCGGGCAATGAGTAAGGTGGTTGCAGAGTTAGCTTGGCGTGTTCGTTTGTTGACTGATCTGGGTATACCTATTACTACTCCTGTTCCACTTTTGTGTGACAGCCAAACGGCCATTCATATAGCCAAAAATCCTGTCTTTCATGAGCGTACTAAACATATTGAAGTCGAATGTCACTTCATCCGCACCAAGTTGGCTGATGGGCTTATTTCTCTCTCTCATGTTCCTACTTCTTCGCAAATGGCTGATATTTTAACTAAGTCCTTGACAGGTTTGCAGCATCGCCTATTGTCTAGCAAGTTGGGTGTGTGCCCACCCTCCAACTTGGGGGGGGGGGGGGGTGCTGGAGTTATATGATACATTTGGAATACATTTGTAGCTGATTTGGGCCACATGTGTAATTGGCCAGTAGTGTATTGGGCCACGACCCATTGTAATTATTTCCCTGTAGTTTTTCTTTTGGTATAGCTCTTTGTAGTAGAAACCAGGCCCATTGTATATACATAGGCTAGGGAACATTCTAGAGGCACAAAAAGATTATTATGGAATACAGAAAATTTTACCCAAAGTTCTTCTCTCATTTTTCTCTCTGAAAACTTAACACAGATCCGCCATTGTTGCCCAATCTCTGACCTTAACACCTCCTTTAATAGACTCTATGCACCAGCGCACAAATCATTAATCCGATTAATCTGAATTAGTCAGACTAATAAGTACCAAACTGTTAAAAGTAAAAGATATAGCAATATTATTGGAAACCTTAATTAACTCAGACATACTTGTACACATGTTTATTTCATTGATTTAAATCAGCTTTCAACTTGTAACTACCATAAATATGAGATGTAATACAATACTCATTATTCCCCTCGCCAACTACCCCCAGTTGTTTTCATACAAGAAAATTTTCAATCAAATCACATATCACATGGTATGTACGAAACCAATATTTATATTAACTGTTACTTTAAATATTAGTAACTGTTAATATTTAAACTGCTAATTATAAAAGCCAAATAATGCACAGTTTGAAGTTGGTTCGCTGAGCAAGACGAGATAAGGATCAACAAGGATTTCATATCCTATGCGGGGAAGTAGCTAGCCTTTAAGTTACGGCTTCGATCGAACCCAGTAACTTTGGTCCAAATTCTATAGTTGTCTTGAGAAATTTATTGAATATGTACAAAATTATTAATTTAGAACCCAGTAAATTAAGAGGACTAGAATTCCGAATCCATAAACATCAAGTCCTAGCTCCGCCTCTCTGATCCTATGTTATTTTTTGTCTCTCCATCTATTCTCGTGTGGCAACATCTATAATTGTGAAATTTAGGAATGAATAGTTGCAGTATTGGCGAAGCTAGAAGTTTTGCTAAGCGTGTTCAACATTTGGTATATGTATGAAAAATAATATTTTACTTTATATCTATATAATATAAATTTTCAACGAATGATGTTAACTGATCATGCTTCGCTGGCTATAGTTTCGTCCCTGAATAGGAGAATCAAACTCATACTTATATTGTGTGTGAAATTCTTACTCATACAACTAGATTATAAATTTTGATAGCATAAGATACCGTCTTGAAATATTCTTAATTTATTGTTTTTTTAGATAGAATAAGAAATTAGGAGAATGTGAAAGTTGAAGATTGCAGATTAGTTAGGTCAGAGATGAATATGTTGAGAAACTAGAAAAGACAAGAGTGTCACACTAGCAGGCAATGTCTGAGTTTCTAGCTCAAATTACATGCCCATTCTCAATGGACCTTGAAGCAGTGGCACATCTAGGATTTTAGATAAGGAGGATTCAAAATTTTAAAGAAGTGGACGATAAAAAATTTCGTCAAACAAGTTCATAATTTTTTTAAAATCAAAATATAAATTAAACTATTGTCACATTAAAGTAACAGTTATGTCAGATCAAAACTAATACGGTAGTACGTTGTTTTGAAATAATTTTTTTCTTTTTTTTTTCAAAATAAAAAATATAAATAAAATGCTAGTGCAAAAGGCATTTAAAGGAAGAAAGAGCAAAAAAAAATATTAAAAATCATACTTACATTAAACAAAAAATTAGATTGAAAAAATAAGTATTAAAGAAAAGATCCCAACTAAAAGTATAAAACGATATACTTCATGTTCAAATACAAATTTTCAATCAAAACATAACAAAGCACTAATAAGAAAAAATATATAGTAGATGAATTACTTTTTAA